ATGTATCCTTTTCCCGGGGCAAAAAACGCAAAGTACCAAGTTCAGCAGCGATTTCCTTCTTAAGGGAGGATTGGCATCGTCCCGATGAAGCAGCGTACTCTCCTCCTCTACCTTTGTCTCTCTGTCCGCCTCGCTCCATCTCTCGACCAGCAACTCAGCTTTACGTGACCTCATCCCGGCCGCCAGGCCACTGTCAATTATACCCATTAGTCCAGTTGCATTAAGCAATTAACTGGGCCGAGGGGCGACTCAGAGTCCTGCAGACGTGGGGCCCGAATTGTGAAAGGCTTGGCGACCTACAGAGCCTCTGGTGGGCCGAGATGAAGGGGGTTGGGTCGGTCGTGTGACCTTGCCGTTGTGTGAATTTGCGTGGGGCAACAGCAAGTGTTTCAGCCGGACGAGATTGACTCTGAAACCGTGCACGCTTGTTGCCGATATTTCGGGCCTGTCTGTGCGTGTGTTTGTGTGAACAGGTCGTGTGGTATCGTGAACCGAAATGAAAGGAGGGGGTGAGGCGGCGGGAGACTAGAACGGTTTGTACAGTTTTGTGCTTGAAAAGTTGCGATCCGAGCAAGATAAGGCCGATCTTGCTCACGCAGCCTGCGCCGGACAGGCCAAATGAGGCTGCCTCAAACCCCGCGCACACTCACAAAACGGAGGCGGAGCAGAGATGGAGACAAGTCCGTATCGGCGCCGCTTAGCAGAGTCGGTTGTCAGCCGCCAAACCGGTGCAACTCGCCTCCGAACCCGTTGGGCTTTGTGATATAAGCCTAAGCATTAGACCATATACTCAGACTGTCCCACGTTTATGCCTATCTTTCTATTTGTGTATGTGTGTGCTTGTGTAAGTGTACGTGTTCTGTAAGACCGGGTCGTTGTGAGCTCGAGCCCAGCTCTCCTTTGCCATTGGTCGTTTAGTTTGCCTCATCGCAAGGACGATAAGTAGTCACACCCACATACACACGCGTATGTATATATAAGTATTAATAAAAATATATATATACAAAAAGACGGACCAACAACACAGCGACAAGTTGCATAAGTCTTAGTTGAATCTGACTACTCAAATGGCGCATTTGAGCATTTAGGAAAAAAAATAAATATTTATGCATGTTCACTTTCCTATGTTTCCAAATATGTATTCTAATGTTGCCGCGCTATTATATATAAATAAATAAATAAATACACGCGTATGTATATATTAGTATTAATATAAATATAAATATTTATTTATTATTTATATTAATACTAATATATACATACGCGTGTATTTAT